TACCCAGCCCTAGTTACAACAACGGAGGAATGAGGGTCCCATTTTGTTAAAGTCAAATGAGTAAGGGGTAACTGACTACAGCATGGCTGTGTTAATCCGATTATCAGTTTGTCTCTGACTGGATGAGAATACCCGACCCTCATCAGTCGAGAGCTTGATGAGAATCCCCTCAAGAAAGGCCTGTTGTCAGATACCACAGGCACATACAGGCCCCTTTTATTTGCGACATAAACTAGATCAATACAAATAACAGACAATGGACAAGCCTCGAAACAGTGTAATATTATGAGAAAACAGCGGTGGTGGGATGAGGGAGAGTCCAAAATGGAGGATCCATTTAGCTGTGTCCAATCCAGCTTTATTTAAAAAACACATCCCATTGGCTAATCAACCTGTCAACTCTAGGCTGTAGCTGAGAAGGAAGTTACATAAATCAAAATTATATTGGCACCTACACAAGGGTTTCGGATACCTCACCACCAGATGTTGTATCACTTTGATATCTTGCACGTAATGTTCTCAATGAAATAAGCTATCTCTGGCTCGGTTTAATACATTAGTTTCTGGCTAATATAAATCTCTGTTTCCATGTACATATCCCTTTATGTTGGGCATTATCGACTTACATAAGTCCAATGTTTCGTTGACAGCGTGAGGTGAGCTTGGTTCCGCTGTCTGAGTCTGAAACTGAGTTTGGGTTTGGGCGTGCTGAGGAATGCTGTCGGTTGTCATCCCTGCTCCGGGCCCGCTACGCCGGGTTGTAGAACCTGCAAGACTGTCGTACACAAGGTCCAGGTTCCTCCTCAACCTCCTGACTCTGACCCACCGGTCTGAATCCAGAACCTATAAGTTGGATATAATAATCCAGCCAGGCATCTATTAGGACTGTATACATAATATGCCCAGGGAAAATGTTGGGGTAGTCATGCGCCAGGGGTAAACTAGGGCGTGTTCGTTCAATCAAATCGATGGTCAACACCTGCCCTCTCGTAATTTCACTTTGCCGCACGCACTATTTCCTCGGGGGAATCCTCCAATGGCTCAGCCATTCATAAGTGTCGTCCATTTGTCTGGAAAACTGAATGAACTCTTGGTGAGATGGACCCATCGAGAAGGCCCTGAGGGAGCAAGGAACAACGATTCGCGTTCCACTCCGAGTGGATATCACCCAAAATGCATTGCAGTTTACGTCATTGCCGCTATAATGCCGACGTTCCATTGTGACTACTGACTCCAAGGGCAAGTGCGTTTCATTTAAATCCCCCGCTCACTCCCCCGCCCACGTTTCCCTCCGCGCCCAAGTGGCCTCCGTGCGACGATGCGGTTACCGTCAAGCCAAGGCGAGGTAAGTGAACGAGGGGAAGGGACTACTAATGAGAACTCACCGAGAAGACCTAATGCATCCATCTGGTATCTCAACCATATCATGCTAACATGTTGGGAAGGAGTTAAATTAACGCTCCAGAAGTTAGGCCTAATTTTTGACAGTAAGAAAAACTGGCATGGCAATTTAAAGAGATCCCTTGATATCATGAATGAAAAATGGTTTACACTTTTAATGCTAATCCTGTGCAAGTTTGGGGCAGAAACATGCAGTTTTTTGCATGGAGGTATAAAAGTCTTTTTAGGTATTATAATGTTTCTGTGGTTTGAATTAGATATGAATTGGAATGTATATGAAAAGCTGAGACCATTGATGCCACTCACTCACCCCTGGGGAAATGAGCCCACATGCGGACACTGTGTTGCCCAAGAGGAGAGGAAGAGAGCCGGATAATGTTTAGAACTAATTTGGGCTGAATATGGAGCAAACCAAGTAAATCATCAGTTATTAATAGCTAAAGTATGAAACTGCCCACAACATAATGCTGTTAAGTAGGCTCTGCATGAACATAGAGATTGCCGCAAAACAGAGTACAAAAGACTTAATACAAGAGAGAGAGAAATAAATCGAGTGTTTGTAGTTTGGGGAAACCTATAATGACTTATTAATTTTTTATTGATATTTTTATGGCACCGACCTAATTACTTTGATACTACCGAGTATCAAAAACTGCCTCATCATTCGGTACTAGATTTCGCTATGTTATCTCATAACTGTCAGTCAGCCAATAAGCACGCAGCACATTAGAGGCTTGGTAATGTTTTGACCCCAGGTTGTTGTCTCTCCTGATACAAGATTGCCCGAATCTGAGAGCAGCGGACAACCTTTTTCCTTATTAGTCAGTTAAAGCCTGTTTAATCTGAATGTCAGATCAAGACTATACTCCTCATAATTAACCAACAGTTCCCACCATGAGCAAGCACTTGGTGACAGTGGCAAGGAAGAACTTCCTTTTACAGACCAGGGTTCTCACTTATAAAGGCTGTAGAACTAAATGTTGTCTAAAAGACGGTGAATGCATATGAATATTTCCCCGCAAATGTCGAGATTTCTAAGAAATTATTTGCGAAAATAGGTGCACATTTCTACACATCCTTTCACCCATTCTTTAGACCTTTCAGACGTGGAAATCAGCAAAGCCAGATGGTGAGATTGTGAAAAAAAGCTCAGTCCTTGGTTGAAAAAACACTGATTTGGGTAGCACCAATTCATGACAAAAGTTATCTCAGGGCAAAAAAATATTATTGGACAATTCTTTATACATAAATGACAAAACTTAATTGATTGCACCAACACAATGTGGTGGCCCTTTAAACCATTGTTACCGCAACAAATGGTGCCCCATGTGAGGCACAGTAATCAAATTCAGTTTTATTTGTATAGCGCCAAATCATAACCAAAGTTATCTCAAGACACTTTTCAAATAGAGCAGGTCTAGACCGAACTCCTTATAACATTATTCAGGCCCAACAGTTACCACCATCAGCAAGCACTTGGCGACAAGGGCAAGGAAAAACTTCTTTTTAAGAAGGCAGAAACTTGGACAGGACCCCCAATTCTAGGTGGAGTGGCCGTCTGCCTCGACTAAATGTGTTAGAGCCAGTTTTGTTTTGTAGGTTTTTCTGCAGGGACGAAGTGTTTTTTGGCAGTCCATCATCAGCAGCTGTGGTGCACCATGCAGGTCAGACTGTGTAACTGCTCTCTGTTGTTGTTATCAGGCGGCAGAGCGGCTGCCTCCTGGAGCTCAGGGGCCTCGGTCCCCGGAGGAGTCAAGAGGAGAGGACGCCATCCCCGGGGTGAGTCTAGAACCAGACACACACTCACACACATACACACACACACACACACAACACACACACCACACTAGGTTACTTTTTTTCTCCACAGGAAGCTGAAGATGATGGTTGTCATGGTAACAGATGCCAGGGGCCGGCTGGCTTAAACTTTGTAAAACTGAGTCCCAATACACTCAGGGTGCATACCAACGGTACACACACCAACACACACACACACACACACACACACACAAAGCTTCAAATTTGTATTGATTTCTTTAAGAATAAAGTTGTTTTTTCAATCTGAAACTTTATTTAAACAGTGCAGTGTGTGTTTGGAACGGATTGAATGCTAATAAGTTTATTATCGCTGTACAAAAACAAAGGAGCCAAAACAGACGATAAACCCACCTCAGTCCTTTATT